CCAGCTGCCGCTTCCCTCGGACCAAGTGTGCGCCTGGCCCCCGATGCACCGGTAATTAACGGTAATGGCTTTTTAAAAGCATAACTCCGTAGGTCCCAATGGCCTGCCAGCCAGCACGGGCCATTGCTTTTTTTTTTCCCCCCCTGAAATATTTATGATACTTCTTTTCCTCTCTGTGTCACAGTTGAAAGTGTTTTCTTTATTTCCCTTGAAATAATAATGTAAATCTGGGAATTGCAAACCCGTAGCCTGGTTATAATTTTTTTTTAAAAGAATAGAAATTGGGGAGCAGTTAAAATTATATTATCCCTGGCAGTGAAATTCCTTTTTTAACAGATAATTTGAAGTTATTACGTTGGAAGCAGCTTTCCCCACATGTGTGTGCGTGCACGGTGTGGAAGGAGCAGAGCCGAGGGGGCTCAGGGTGCCTGCCGGGGCTTTCGAGGGAGTGGAAGCGCCAGGGGCTTGCTGGAGTCTGCAGTTTTTCAGTGGGTGGGACCAAAAAAAAAAAAAAAAAAAAAAAAACTAACCACCCCTCAAAGGCACCATCTTGCAGTTCTTAATTAAGCCTGGTTTTTATCAATGGGAGTTTTGCCTTAGAAAGAACTGAAGGATTGGGCTTTCAAGATCTTTTCTAGCAGGATCTGGTTTTTATTTCTCTTAGCCGTTCATTTTTACAAGGCTTGGGAGCACCAGCGTTTTCTGCTATGCACCAGTGATAGACATTTGTTTCCAATTAGTATTTATTGGATTATTTTAGTCAAAAGTAAGCTTTGTATTAGAGCTCCGCAATATGCATTTTGTTATTTGTTCACAGGATGGTGTTTTCTTTTTCTGCTTGGTTTTGTATCAGCTTCAGTCTACTGAAAAGCTGGTGCAAGGCAGCGTCGCTGGGGATCTGCCCTGAAACGGAGCAAACCAGATTAAACAGATTACTGCCTCTTATACCAAACATCTATCCCTTCCATCGGTACGGGTGTGTTTCAGACTCGCACGGCTGGAAATTGCGGCAGCCGGCAACGTGTCCTTAGGCTGTGCCCGGCTTTCTGCCGCTTTTCCCGCGAGCTGGAATTAGCCCCTCTCTGGGGAAGGGGGTGCTGGTCGCTCCCCGGGCTGGGGGAAGCGGGTAAAGCCTGGCTCAGGCGGCTCGTGGCGAGATTAGCGGTAGGTACTGTTGGATTTATGGGTGTGCGCGGGGCCGACTAACAAAGCTTTGGAAAAACACATAGGTAATGTTTTCTGTAGCTAAAATAATACGGAAAACTTGCGTTTTAATGGCATCTGAGTTCCTGACTTGAGGTCATATGACAAAAAGATTTCCGTAGTTTGCCTTAGGATTTTAAAAGCAAATGAAAACATGAATACCAAGCTGAACCCTTGACCAGTACGTTTCTCACACTGTAAATGACTGATCTGATTTTGGGAGAAAACCTCCCAAAACAAACACAGATCGTTGTGGACGAGGGTAGCTGCGAGTAAGTGAAAATACCAGTATTTTCTTTGGGTCTTGCCCAACCTGTACGCGTAGCTGCAGAGCTTGAGTTTTATCGTGATTTGCTAATGTAAATCAGTGGTTGCCCTGAAGTCAGGAGAGCGATAAGCGCTCTCGGAGTGATGTAACGCAAAATGAGAAGCAGACTCGCAGGCTTTTTTTTTTTTTTTTTTGTGGAAATAACAAGTATGAAAAAAAACAGGAGAGTAAATGCAGAATGCTTGGTAGTGGCTCACTGTGGAGAAACAGGCACGTTCATTTGGTTGGAGACGAAGGAAAGCTGCAGAGATTCAGCAAGATTTAACTGCAGGTCAAGCCAGAGTTTTCCTTTTCCTGTTGCATATCTCTCTTTTCCATAGTACATATAAAATATTATTACTGCAAACTGCACGTCCCAACGCAGCCTCTCCACGTGTATCGTACTAAGAACTATAAATCTCAGGGGGTTTTCTGCTTTTTCTTCTTTTCCAGGACAACGGGCCTGCCCAGAGCAGGAGACCGATGCCGCACGGGACGGGCGGCAGCCCCGTGGACAACAAGCAGATGCTGAACGTGCAGCACCACCACCCGACCCGGCTCTACGCCAACAGCGGCTCCGAGTCGGCTCTGCCGGGCCAGCTGAGCGGGCTGCACATCGCTCCCGCCCAGAGGTAGGACGAGAGCACGGCTCACGCTCTGGGTCCCGCTGCTGTTCACGCAAACTCGGTTTCGGGGGCGCGCGTTGAGGCTGCGGTGCTCTGGGGATGCTGGGGTTCAGCTCCTGCTCTGTGAGTCCAGGGTAGGTGGGAGAAAAGGAGAAAAAAAAAAAAAAAAAAAGTTGGAGACTTCAAATTCTGAACAAAACGGCCACGTTGTATGTATGTGGCAACTGCAACGCTGAATTGAAGGTTGTGATGCTGAAGCGATGCTCAACCATTTATCTCGGTGAGGGTGCTGGTTTTCCAGATCCACCAAGATCCTTCCGTTGCCAACGGGGATGGATAGATTTCCAGCATCAGATCCGGTCCCCAGGCTGGGATTAATGCCAGGGAGCGGCACGGGTGGGTGTTAGTATCTTTGTTTTTCAACGTGTATATTCAAGGCAGGATGGAGGGTTTTGCCCTCCTCGGAGTCGGGATCGCACCACTACGGACCCAGGAGCAAACACTTGGCCTTGGGAGCTGGAGGTATCCGCAGAGAAAATTAACCCCAGTAAACTGGGATGTTTATAAATGTAAGATCTGCTTAATGCAGCTGTCTGGGAAGGCTGGGAAATAAATAATGCTCGTAGGAAAGAAAAAAGGTTTTGTGTAGCCAAGAAGGGTTTGGGTGGATAACTCGGACTTTGAGACAGGCCAGGTTGCGGACTGTGGACAGCGATGCTTTCACACGGCTTACGCTGCTGCTGATTTATGTTCCTCCAGACTGGCAAAATATTCTGCAAGAAAGTAATGTCTGTATCAAATACAAAGAGCAAAGAGAGTTTCTTTTCAGTTCAGGAACTCTGTGCCTGCTCAAATTCATATTTCAGTGACGCTGCGAGCCAGCTTATTCCCTGTGCTGCTCCAGGAAAGTTAATGAAGTTGGAAAGAAGAGAACCGCACAAAAAATACGAGAACAAAGTCTGACGATGTCTGCGTGTGAGCCAAGAGCAGGGAGATTAGCTTGGGTGTTTGAGCAGAACTGGGTCAGAAGTGCATTCTCTTTGAATTTGTGCTCGATCAGGCTGGGCTGGTCAAAACCTGCCCTTTTTCATTGAAAACGTGGGAATTGATGTATGAGAGGGCTGTAGCAGGGCGGACAGGCACTCGGGGCACACGGGGAGGGTTCAGGTTGGCCAGGAATTGTGGAGATGGGTCCTGAGCTGCCCCGGCAGCGGCACCTCTGCCCCTCTGTCG